AAACCATCTGTCCACTCTTTATTCCCTGTGTTAGTTTTCTTTGCCTCCGTTCACTTGGGTTTATAGTAAGTAAAGTGCTTGCCTGTGCAAATAGATGTTTAAAAATAGCCTTCATAATGCTCTGAAATGTTTCTAGTGAATATTTTTCCTCTGTCACTGTGTGTATTGCCTATGAGATGTAGTAAGAAGTATTGATTCTGATGATCTGCATGCATCCTTGATGAACAGAGATGGTTGAAAAACTTTAAAGAAAAACATAAATGACATTGCCACCTTTGTGGAAATATTCCCATTTCCCAACAACTCTATTTGTGAAGTCTGGCCATGTATCATACCACACTGTTGGATGTGCAGGAGGAAGGTCTGTCATTGCTACAGGCTGGTTACGTCTCCATGCATTTGTATATTGCAAGAGCTGGTGGTCCCATGTTTGCTTCCCTCCATTGCACTGAAAGAGTTGATCCTAATGCATGAGAGATTTGTTCTCTGAAATGAATGTTTCCACTCTACTCATAGAATTTCTAGTGATCTGTGTTCAATATCAGGGTTGCAATCAGCATTCAGAATCTTTTGAAGGCCATGGAAATTTTTGTCCTGATCATGTCTGATGTGCTGAAGGGTTACTACACGGCCTGAGATTAGGTTCTGTATTTGACCAAGAAGATCTTTATTCCACAATAAGTACCTTTTATGACTTCTTCTAGGAAAAATGACACCCCCATGTGATAATGGAAGCTGTTGGTGAAGATGGCCATTTGGCACCTACAATGTAGGAGTGAGGCTGGACTGTATTTTTTGTGCCTCAGAAATTTTAGGGGTTTTGTTTTTTTTCTATTTTTCAGTTGGCAGTCATAGACGTGCTGAGAACATGATTGCCAGCACAAGCTGGAAAGCAAGCAAGCTTTTAAAAGCCTCTCGGGGAGATGACTTCTTTTTGTGCCTACAAATATGGCCACTTCCAGCTTTCCATTTGGATCCTAGAGCTGCAAAATGGCATTTGTCCACCAGAGGGCATGTGGGCCATTTTCTCCTTCTGAGCACAAAAAGGGAAACAGAAAGGTTTCCAAAGCAGACGCCCTTCCAAAATGGGACCCAGCAATGGCTGCCCCAGCCTTTGCCCTGGCATCAGGGATGCTGAGGAAAGGCGTGTGGCCGAGCGAGCTGGCAGCAGTAGGGTTGATGTGGCTGTGCCGCTACAGCAGAGCCACCTCAGTGTGATGTGGGGTTCTGCCTGCATGAAGAGCTAAATGAAAGTCTTTATGGTGCCATGACTTTATGGTTCCCCAGACTTGCATTTCAGACCCCTGTATGTGTGTGTGTGTGTATATGCACATGTGACGGAGAGAGGTACACACTTGTGTGCGTGTACACACCCACATTTGCTCACACTGGTATCTGTAGCCACACAGGCCCACTCTATAGCTTGCAAAGTAAATTAGACTTAAATGACTCTTTGGAAACAAAATAAATCAAATAGCATAATAGTACCATCTTTTTATCTCATTTGTTCCCATACAATTAGTAGTTTTACTGCCATGTTGTGACAGGTGACTGTGTTTGACCTTTGCCGCTTGGGTGGTTGGCTGGTGCTCAAACTAATGAAGACCCTTAATGGATTGGCTTTTGTGAGGCTGTGAGCGGTGGGGTTAAAGAGAAAATGGTGCCTTAGACAGAGTCCAGAGAAGATCCTTCAATTAAACCTGAAGTCTATTAGCAAAGAAATATTGAGGAGGTTGAGAGTTAGCAATGATTTAACCAGCAAGTCTTCCTTGTGAGTCGTTAAAATTAAAAAAAAAAAAATTCTCCCTGGTTATTTATTGTTGAGCATGTGCTTGGACTCCCGTCCTCTTGGGTGAGAAGTGAGAGCAGAGCCGTTGGCTTGGAGAGACCGGGGCTATAGGGCCCTGGTCCCGAGTTTGTTAGCCCCATGGCTCACACACAGCTGTGCTTGCCTTGGGCAAAAGAATGAGAAAAAAAAATGAAGCAAGAGCAGAAGGAAATGGAGAGTGATGCTAGGGAAGATAAAACCAGATCTCTGGGATAAATAAGACTTTTTGGAACTTAATTGTTTTTCACCATGTAAATAAATTACAGTGAAAGAAAAGGAGAACCAAGTAGCTTCTGGGCAATGAGTCTGAGGGCAGTGCTGAGCTCTGGAGCATGAGGAATGGACAGGAGCGGAGAGAAGCCATGGGGAGGCTGGTGCAGGACAGGCGGGGACTGGGCAGAGCAGCACAAACGGATCTGACAAGGAGTGGTAGGCGTGGGGAGCCAAGGGATGGCTGAGCCCCGAGAGCACTGGCAGCTCCAGGCCTGATTACAGTAAAGGACCCTGGGGCCATGCTGCTGGCTTGGACACTTCAACAAAAGTCCTGCACATGGTGCATGCAACTTGCCTGCTGCTCCATGGGTTCTCCTCCTGCCCCCAGTAGCTAATGTCCTTGTCCCTCTCTGTCAGTTTCAGTGTCAAAACCTGAGCATTTCCCATTCCTGCCTGGAAGTCTTCTTTCCTTTTGTTTTTCAGAATTGTTTCACTTTCAGGCTGAGCAGCATCTTGCAGCAAAGTCTTGAGCAGAGCTGCATCTCCGTGTGCTGCTCACTGCTCCTTTGGGCGATCCATTGTCCCACAGGTGGGAAACATCCGATGAGGGAAACCATGAAGCTGCTTGTGTTGGGTGGGGACCTGCCTCCCCACAAGTCTCTTGCTTCCACACACCGCATAGCAAACCTCAAAGAATCTAACACATTAGCCAGGCAAACAAAGGCCAAGATGGGACAGGTGAGACTAAGGAAATGTGTCCTGGGTCCTGACATGCCTCCTTCATGCTGGCCTGTGCTGTGGGCTGATTCAACATCTTGGTGTCTAGCTTTTCTCTTCCCTGCCCTACACCCTTGTAGAAAAAACAGGCAGGGAGAAAACAGCTCCCAGGAGGTGTATTAGCTCTGTGCTTCTCCCCTGTGGTTCTGGGGATAGTTTTCTGAAGGTGCAGTATTTTTTACAACTCTTCCTGCCACTGCTGCTTCTTCTTGGTGCAAATACCTTACCTGATAGAGCAAGTACCTGTATATGAGGTCAAAGCTGAGCTGTCGTGCTTGGATGGGAACTGTGCCTAGCACCAGACTGAACTGGGCACACCCCATTATTGGGGTGATGGTTTGTCTTACAAGTAGCTTTTGGAGACAAAAAGTGAAAAGTAAAGAAGACAGCCAAGAAGCCTCAATGGGCAGAAAATTGGACTCTCTGTAGAGGCTTTGGCTGTGTCCCAGAGATGTCAGGGCAACAGAGCCATAAGGAACTAGGCCCAAACTGCTTGCTGTTTACATAGATGTAGCTGGACTTGCCTGGTCTATGACTTTTTCTGGCTTATAGGAAAAGGAGTGGCTTCATGCCACTTCAGTTGAGTCATCACACAGCTTTGAAGTGTCTCAGATGTGGTGCCCAGCTGTTCCTCTTCCTGGGTTCTGCCATGTGAACACCCTCAGACAAGACTCCTGAGCTGAACACCCTGCTCCAAAGATTCCGAGCTGTGCTCGAGGACTGCCCTAGTCTTCATCTGTTCTTCTTTCTGTCTGTCTGTCTGTCTATCTAATCTTTCATACCTTCCCCATGGAGCAATCCCTTTCACTCAGTCCCTCTGTTTCCTCTTTTTTTTTTTTCCTTTTTTCTCACTGTTAGACACATGCCCCCCCCCCTCACCTCCCCCTACTTTGGGGATAATTTAACATGTTACACACTAACTTTCCAGTAATGGCACTCCGGCTTTTTGAAATTCTGCTTCCCTGTTTTATGGCTGGGCCTCTAATGGTTATCTCGCAGCCCTGCCTCTGGCAATCATGTAAGGAATAAATAGAAGCTGACACAGTAATTTACTTAAATCTTCTCCACACTTTTGCAGCATTTTCCTCCAGAGGATACCCCCGAAACAACAATTATTTGAAATGTCACGCGTTCCTGCCCCTAGGCTACCGACAAATGAACATTAAATCTATTAACAACAAAAAAAATTAAATGTTTACTTTTCTGCGAAGGTAAAGGAGAAGCTGGAGAGAGGGAGGGATGTCTCCAATAAATTTCTTCTCAATAATAAAGAGGTGTAGTTAATGTTCTCTCTAAGCAGAGTCAGCTTGCAGCCCACATCTGTGAGGACAGAGATGTGATACTGCCACGCAGCCTTGCCAGGGCAGCTCCAATAGTCTCATTTTTCCAGAACAGGGAGCTCATTTGGTATTTTTGCAGATTAAATAAGATGTTTAGTGGGCCAGGAGCTGCCACAAACAAGGTGGTCCCAGCCCTCACCCCACCTAGCTAGTGCATGCTATGGGGATTGGACAGGTGGGAGCAGAAGAGCTACCCCCTCAGCAATGGGAGGTGTTTCACAGAAAGGAAAGCTGAGTATTTTGGAGCTCTGCCCCAAAATCCTGTAGAAACTCTGGAGGTAAGGCCCAGCTCCTTTACTTTTCCGCCCTATGCTCCCACCCCTTTGATGAACCTAGGTAGGCAATACGGAGGTGGGACAATGAAGGTGGACTCAGCCCTGCACCTGGTCCTGGTGGATGATGGTGGGTGAAAGTTCCCATGGGATATGGGCAGAACAGGGTCAGGACACAGGCCTAAAGCACCATTTTCTAGTTCTGCAGATAGGGAATTTCAAGTCCAGAATGGGTCAGAGGCTCACCAAGATGCAGTGGCAGAAATGGAAAGAAGTGTCCCAGCTCTACAATGATCACTTCATACTGTCTTGAAAATACTGTCCCAGTGTTTGAACTTTACAACTATTTTCCCTGTCCATGGATTCGCTGTAGAAGTCCCTTGGGATCCATTGTGTTTATAGAGCCAGGAATCCAGCCCTTTGACTTTGACATGTCATAAAGCACGTCTTTTGTGAGTGAACTTGTAAGGGAAAGTTTGTCAATGGATGTTGAACGTTGTTCCCCAGAAAACTAGAAATGAGTAGAAAACTCTGCTCCTCTCTTATTTTTTTTTTTTCCCTTTCTTTCAGCAAAAGAAGCTTGGGAGTAAACCTCAAACACCTTGAATAGAGTGTTACCTCTTACATGCCATATGAACCAATCATCAATATGGAGTGTGTTGTGGACAATATGTCATCAATATGGAGTGAGTATGTAGACCTGTTGTCTACCTCTTGAAGCAGGACGTACGGACATCTGACCAAGTCGCCCTCTCCTGTTCCTTTCTGCAAAATGACCAGGTACTTTAAACTTTGCTGTCATCACAGTTCCCTCTATCACTGGGCAAGTATGCCCCGAATATGTTGTTGGTTTTTTTTTTACTTGCTTTTTTGTTGTTGTTGTTGTTTTGTTTTTGTTTTTACCCCAATAGGCTGTGCCCTCCCTTTATGCACCAGTTGTGACCCTCAGAGGCAGGCAGTGGAGGAGACATACGGTAGATCTGCTGCACTGAAGTCCTGGCAGAGCCTACTGTCCCAGTCCTAGTTCCCTTCACTGCTGTTCTATGTAAATGATGCCAGTCTGCCTGCTGAGGTGGTCGGTGATACAGAGATGCTCAGTCAGGCATCTGGAATGCTAGACTACTTTTGAACTGATCTGTGGGAGATAGTGCTCCCAGGTAGTGATCACAGGATGGTGTCTGCTTGGCAGCAGGCTGTCCAAGGTAACTCCGGAGTTGTGCTACACAGGCGTGTGCCAAGTTTGTACCGCCAGAGCATTCAGAACTGAGACAGGGCTTCTGAGTCCCATGGCTCCCCTTGACTTTTTGTTGCTACCTGCTGTGGTTGTTTAAAGAACATGGGGAAAGATCCAAGTGTGTGCTAAGTGTGTGTCTGGAACGGGTAAACTTTTTTCTTTACCAATAATCCTGTTGACATCCAACGGTGTGGTAGAAGAGGAAAGGATCTCTTCCAAGGAATCAGACTTAGCTTTGGATGAACAGCTGTTTGGGGCTGTTCTCAGGCCTGCTACAAATTCCTTGCCCACTGTCTTGTACTGCCATGACTCTACATGGAGAATTTGTCCTCTCTCATCTGGAGAGAGAGGACTGTGGGGCTTTTCTGTACGTTTCCCCCTTAGTTTCCAAAACTGGCCATCCTTCTGATGGAAAGGGTTGTCTTCTTCCCCACTTCAGTGTCTGAGGATTAAACGATGCATGAAGGACAAGGTAGATGTGTTACATCCGTGATCAGACAGCTCCACAACATGTATGTTCCATATGGGAAACCACAGAGCTAATGATGTACAGAGCACAGGGCTCTGACTCGGCCTTAACAAAGACTTCTTTAAGGTGTGTTATAGATGCTGGAGAATATACTACAAATGAAATCCATCTCAGTATTGCAACAAATTTATTTAAATAGTTCCACTGCTAGCCAGAAGTCTGAGCATGTTTATGAGTTATCCTAATGCCTATAAACACAGTTATGTGGCCTAATATATTGGGATGGACTCTTGGCTAGTATATGTGTACCAATTTAGATTAATGTCTCCCATCATAAATTGCAAGACTTCAAATGACCATTTTCCTATAGTTAAATAGGAAAAAAAAAAAAAAGTGGGAAATTGGGAAGAGGGCTCACCAAACTACTTTGCATTAAGCTTTATTAAACTTCTTCCTGTAATGTCTCCACTTTGATCTCTTCTCTGCCCAGATTCAGACCTCAGCTTCTGATTTCCACCAAGGAAGGCATGCAGGGTAGCTGGGTGCCTGCACTTAACTTTTTTTTTTTTTTTTTTAAGCTTTGTATCACGTTCTTGTGCTCTCAATTCCGGATAATGCTGGATCCCTTTTATCCAGCCCCTCCTCTTGCCCTTTCAAGTGAAAAGAAGACTCCTGTGCCCCCCCATCAAAGTTAAAGGGAGGCTTTAGAGAGGAAGGCTCAGCACGCCGGGGCTCTTGAGCCTGTGTTTAATCTCGTTTCCCGTTCCTGTGTGCCTCTGTGGCTTCCCTGCCAGTTTCTTTGTTGCTGAGTTTCTCATTTCCTTTTATTTGTGTGTGCGGGAGGTTGCCAGGCTCGCTGGAATGCAGCTGAAGTCATCTTGGGGAGACGCGTTTCGGCCCCCGCCCCGGGTTCTACATGACCTGCCTCACCCTGCAGCGGGCTTGCCTGGCTGCACAGAGGCGAGCCCGGGAGAGGCAGCAGGGACGAGAAGTGCCCACCTGGCTGCTGCAGGTGGATTGTGCAGGGGTGGCGTGTCCTACGCTATCAGGGTGCAGAGGGCGGAGGTGAAGGGATGGAGGGAGAGCTCCTGTCCTGCCAGGGGAAGCAGGGCAGAGATGCATGCAGCCTCTGGCAGGGGATGGGGGCCTGGTGTGTCTCAGCTCCTGCATAACCTCAGCTGACCCCAGTGCAGTGCCCTGGCTGCTGTCCGTGGCTGGGTTCTGCTGAGTGATGCTGGGCTGAAGGTGTGGCCTTTGGCTGCATGCTGGGGGCCAATACAGGCTGTGTTAGGCTCCAGAGGGAGAGAGCTGGAGTCATACAGGGAAACTGAATATGGTGAGCAAGGTGAGCAAGGTACATCCCCGAGACCTTACGTGACTGTGTCACAGGGAGTATGCAAGACAGTGGGAAAAAGGAGTTCCTCACTACAGGAGAGTTCCTGACAGAAAGGAGAGTGATGCTGTGGGATGGTTTTGTTTAGGATGGGTCTGGAGTGTCTAGAACTGCCATGTAGCAGTGTGCAGCAGTACTGGTTGGAGCAGAGAATGGGTAGGTTTTGGTGCTATTTTCTGTTCAAGGGCTCTGTGAGCAGCAGTGATATCAGAGCACTGTTTTGACATAGTCTCCAGCAAGAAGCACATTTCTTCTGTGCAGTTTTGAAGGTCTGGATAGGGAATCAAAGCTTGCAATGCTTCAGTATTTCCATATTGCTCTCCTTTGGTCTGCATTCTCCTGGCTTCCTTTGTATTGAGCAAGTTCTGTGAGACAAAGGTGGTCTTACCAGGTGGTGTTCATGCCTGGTTCTCTAAGAATATGTTTTGTCATAGTACTTCAGGAGAGAAATCTGGAGAGGGATCTCAGACCAAACTAATCCATTGACTACATTGGGTCCATTGAATTGTTCCTTGTTTTACGTTTATTTTGTGTGTGTGGCAACTCTTACCTTTTTATTCTAAAAATTCACTGGCCTTTTTTGACCTTTTCCAGAAGGAAAGAGGGAAGGTCTTAATGATTTTAGAAAACTGAAATTGAGCAGAATTGCTTTAAGTTAGTTTTCAAACCCCTATAGATGGATCTATACCACAGGTAGGTCAAACAGGTACACAGAGACTCCCTGCTATCTATCAGTACCTATATGTAGTAGATCAGTGTACATATTTTTAAATGTGTTTTCCCTGCCTTCTGAATTTTATTTTTATTTTTTTGGCCTTGTAATAGCTTATTTTTAGCTCATCCTGGTTTGCAAGGATGTGTTATTTGGCTTCTCAAAGCCTCTGTAAACCTGTCTTCTGTGGCTGTGAGCTGGTTACTGTTGTGCTGCGTGGATCAGAGCTGTTAGGCTCATGGACCCTCTGGCTACCAGCCAGCATGATATCTGCCAAATCTCCCTGCTGCTTTGTTCAAGGAGCATTTGTGCTGCCATTGTCTCTCTGTTCCCTCTGGACAGGCCTGTGGGGTTGTGCAACTATGAGTTTGTGTAGTCTCTACCTGGATGTAATTGTTTTGGCCTTGTACCTAAACAGTCTGTCAATCTGCAACCCCGAAACTCCAGCAGGAGACCCAGAGATTGCATCACATGTCAAGGGGAAGACTGAGTGGTAAATATAATCCAGTGAGCAGGGAAGTGTCACTTGCTGTAAATACCCTTCTGCCCTTTCATCTCTTGTGGTGATGCTATTTCAACCCAGTGTTTTAAATATCTTCATGGAGGAGCTTTTGTACTTGCTTTCCCCCACCTCCCCTCTCTTCCCCCAGTCTCCTGTGAGGTTGGGTTACTTGCTTTCTGCACATCTAGCTGTTCCCGAATTACTTTTGTGGAGGATTCCTCCAAATTTCCAGTGCTTACTAAAATTGAAAATTTGTTTTCTTCATTACTAAGATATTGTGAAGACAACTTCCAATAAGCCCAGTGTCTTATTCTTATGTTAGACAAATACTTGTATTCAAGCATTTTTTAAAGCTTCAGCATTTCAGAATTTCACTTTATATTTTTATTTTAACAACCTCAAATCTTCCTATTCCCAATTTTCTTCACCAGGATGAAGTGCTATAGAATGGCAGAGCAGAAGGAAAGCACATCTTCTAACCACTCTGATTATCCCCTGCTGCTGCTTGGCATCCTCACATACTGCAAGAGAAACGCCAGACCTGGAAGCAATCTGCTGAGAGTTTCAGATTCTCTCTGTTCCTCTCTTCCAGTCCATTAGGCCAGAAAGGGAATGGCAGTCAACAAGTATTTCATCTGGAAGTGTAGTCCTGGGATTTCCCCAGATTTCTACCCCAGCTTGAGCTGAAGACCAGTTTCCAGTTATCAGTCATGCTCTGCTGAATCTCTGTTCTGATTTTTTAGAACTGATTTTTTTTTTTTTCCCTCACATTGATATCTGCTTTGCACTCATTCAGGATGTGGTTGGATCAGGCTTCAGCACAGGTCTGATTTCTACTCATGCTAGTTACTGCTGTCTGGATATAACATGGTCCTTATTCGTGACATAATTAATCCTTGAAAAGGAACAGAGTTTTTTGCAGAGGTTTGGCCTAGGTCTACTTCTGATCAATATTTGTGTTAATCATTTTGATAATAAAATGGAAACCAACCAGAGAAAGTATGCAGGAGGTAGTGAGCTGGAAGAAGGCTGCAAATCTGTTGGACAACAGGGTTGTAACTGAACGCAGTTTGATATGCTGGAGAAACTAAAACTGGGCAAGTAATATTCAATAGCTGCAAAGGCACAGTGTGGCTAAGCAATGGGGTAACTGGTGCATTGCAGAGTGAGGGCAGTTTACAAACAGGGTTAATTACTAATGTTGCACTTTTACAGGAAGGACATCGTTGGGTCTGGTTTATATAAATGCCAGGGTCACTGCTAAGGCACAAAGAGGTTCCTGCAGCTCTCTGGTGTCCTGCAGTGGGGTCTTGTCTAGTGCTGAACGCCACAGTTCCAGGGCTGTGTTGGTCTGTTGGAGGGTGTCAATAAAAAATAGCAAGGATGAAGCTGGAAACCGGGTACTATGAAGGGAGGTTAAGGAACTGCTTTAAAGGAATGTAGGAGAGAAAACTATGGGTGTGAAACGCTCAGTTTCCCAGCATGTAAATGGATTATATAGAGAAGAGTGAGAACAACCATTTTTTGTGCCCATTTGCTAATGAGCAGAAAGAAACAGGTATCTCTAGAAAGGAGGAGACTGGGTAGTAGAAAGCCCTTGCTATCTCACAGAGCATGGAAGCACTGGTAGAGGTTACCCATGTAACTTCTGGGATCTTGACTGGACATGTTCCAGAACATCAACCAGGGATGATTTGTATGTATTGGTCTCGACAAGGCAACGTGGGGGTTATTACATTGCTTTTTCCAGACTATATTTCTGTGTTTCTCTCAATCCTTCTCATCTACCTGGAAGCTGGCAGGGCAGTGGGAACGTCAGAGGAGTTTGTACCTTCCTTTCTTTTATGGCACGGACCAAGAGTTCTCTATGGTGGCGCTTCACACTGAGTAGGTTGATGCCCTGCTTGTTTGTAGGATCTCTATCAGAAAGCTTTTCACTTTAGAGCTAAACTGTGGTGTAGACTTCATGGCAAGTTGAGCAAGTTGCCTGGCTTGGAACTGAGATCACAGCAGGGTGTTCTGCCACCACGCTGAGGAGAATTACATAGGTATAGCTTTTGGGCTCCAGCTGGAGTTTGGCTTGCTTTTGTGATACTTACTATGACTCCTTCCCTCACGGTCACAGACTTCAAGTCATTTTGCAGCACATGTTGCTGTCGTCTTTTTTTCAGGGAAAACACAAAGTTGGGCACCCTCCCAGAGATGAAAACCTATTCCCCCGGGTTTCCCTGCATGCTACTGATTGCTCACTTTTTATGACAGAATCTTAGCATACATGAATCTTTTGTATCCTCTTACTAACTCACAGGCATGTGCCTGGAGGCTTCTGTATGCTTCAGTTCCCCCATTCCCTGCAAGATTTCTCAAATTTGAAGGCTCTGTCCTCCTGTGACTTTTTTAAAAACATAATTATTGTAGCACTGAGCACAGGCAGGCTCTGTTTCTGCTTGTACCTACTGCATCTTGATGTAATATAGAGGACTGTTTGTTTCCCCCTGCAGAAAAATTTCCAAGGAGGGGAGCAGTTTGAGATTTTCCTTTTTCCTCAGTGGAAAACCTCCAGAATCAGTGAACGCACATAGCACAGAATATGGATTCCTCCAGCAGAAAGCAAAGCTAGTTAAAGTTGTCCTACCTGATACAAAATGCTCTGAAGCTTCCTGTTGGAAGGCGATCGATTATCAAATAACTATTACATGGTGCAGCAGATTACATCTCGTTGGTGCTGGAAATGCTAAGGATTGAACTGGGACAGGCGACCCCTGCAGAGACGAGCAGTACAGTAAGCACATGGCTTTTTCACCACACCAGCTCCTCTGTTCCAGCCCATGCCACTGGCAGCCCAGTGCTCTCCCCCTCTCTCTGCAACCCTGGCATATGCATGGCTCGTTAGCAGCAGCCTGGCAATCAGGGGAGCCTGCTATGGCAGCAGCTGCTTTTCCAGAGCTGTCCCATGTGCAGTGCAGTGTGGGGGCTGTTTGCCAAGGTGAGGCGCTCCCTGCAGCTGGCTGGGGTGGGGACCGGGTAAGAAGGGGTTGGCTTTCACCAAATAGGACCAGCTGGAGCAAACTTTGCTTCCTTGCAGTGCTTCCCATCTTGTCCTCCTCCCTGCCCAGCCAGTCACCCTGCTCCCTGATGTGTACGTGGCCGAGTACCGGGGAGCAGATGGAAGAAGAGCCATCTGGCTTCAACCAGGCTTGTTCTCAGGTTGGAGCTGGGGGAGCTGCTGGAACAAAGGATGGCATCGCCTGGGAGTGCCTGGGAGTTTGTGAGTAGTGCAGGAGTCTCGAGCTCTGCTTCTGCCAGGCTCCATGGCTTCCCAGCAGCAGGTTTCCTGAGCTGCAGCGCTCATGTGCATGCCCTAATAGCAGAGCTGTGGGCTCCATCCGCTTCACCTGGTTAGGGGACTTCTGCAGGGCTTGTGTAAACCCACAGCCCATTCCCCCCCTCCTCAGCCCACACTGCTGCCCTTGCGGCAGGACCATATGGGCCACGCTCGTGGTTGGGATGCCCTGGCTTGCTTTGGTATGCCTGTCACAGCCGGGCCCCGTGGTGCCGGCTGAGCTTCTCCTGGCTCAGGTTCTGCTTCATTCCGTGCTAGCTCTGTGCAGCCCGGCTGCGTGGGGCTAGTCACCGGGGAACGGGGGCTGGCAGAGATGAATAGAGAATGCGAACAGGTCCCTTGGTGCCCTTTTCCCTCAGTCTTGTTTCCCTCTCAGCAGGGGGAAGCAGTCTCTGCGCGGTCCTCTGCCGATTGCATTGGGGAAAGTCATTAAAAAGAATTAAAAAGGAAACGGGGAGAGAGGGGGAAAAAACAGCAGCTCAACAGCCCCCAACAGTTACAGTCTTAGACAAAAGCATGGCAGGTTGTTCCTGCTCCAAGCCCCGGGCCACCCTTGCCTGGCAGCAAGGGACAGCAGCGCTCCAGTGGTTCACTGGGAGTGGGGGAGGAAGGCCTGCAAGTACCTCTGCTGGTGCCATGGTTGTGGGGGCTGTCATCTGCTCCTTCAGACAGGCGAAAATATGTGTATGGAATTCAATTAATTGTACAAAGATTGACTCGCCCGTGTGCTGCGTTAGGCAATGGCTCCATATCCCAGCGTTTGGAGAAGGAGCGGTGCAAGATGCCCTTTCCCAGGGGCCCTGCTTCTCCTCCCCGTTGCTCTGAGGAGGTCACAGGAGGTCCCATAGCGAGCTGCTGCCCCGGCTGGGTCACCAAGTGGTGGGATGGAGGCCCTGGTTACTTGTGCCATCGCTGGGGAGGGGTTGAGCACCAGGGCTACAGGTGTCTGTCAGGGAAGGTTTGGTTTATAATCCAAATTCAGTGCCATAAAAGTTTTTCTAAAATAGTGGCCTACGCTTTGAGTCTGTCTTCAGATGCAAAGGCCGGGCTCTTTCAGTTGCAAGCTGCTTGTTTGGTCTAAGTCATGACTGGACATGAGCAGTCATCTTTAAAAGGTTTGATCCTTGAAGCCTGGATGAATGCTTGCAACTTTGAACCTATAAAGCACTCAGAGGGTTGTCCCAGGATCCTCACCATCTTTCCTTTCCTCAGCTCTTACTTCTCACACCACCTGGACATGTCTTTGAGGACTCTGGGACACAGGCTGAAACTTTAAGACAGCAGAAATAACTCTTACTGCAGTCAAACTGTGCAGGCTGCTGACAGGCATGGAGATGGGAGAGCATGGCAGGGTATAGGCTCTAAAAATCAGCTGTACAGTGCCATTCCCAAGTCTTAGGGGCCACACAGCCCGTCATTCAAGTTCCTTCTCAAATCGTTATAGAAACATCAGCATTTCCACAGGGTTTATTTCTGCATGCTGGAGTTCAGCTTGAAATTGGTTAGGATTTTAGGCTATAACTGTTATTGTACTCCCTCAGTCCTGCGTGGTGGCTCCCCATGAACCTCATAGATACGCTCGTTTACATCTCACTTGGCATACCCCAAGCTGAGGCAGAACCTGAAGGGGTTCTCCTGGTGCTGGGGAACTTTGGATCGTAACCTGAAATAGCCTCAGCTGCTGCGCAAAGCATGCTTGCGTTGGCAGTGCATTTAATAGCTTACATTAGTTTATTTACACGTGTATTCTGGCCTCTACTGTATATTGATCTGTGTCTCTGCATTTTTCTGCCTAACTGCACTCTTCAAGGTGTGACTGTGCCGGTGTTGCTACAACTTGAAGGTTTATCATCGTGCAGCTTACCGGTGCTGGCGTGAAATCGTACCGCTTTGATGCACTCGCAGCTGATTTCTAGATCAGTGGCTGATCCTGTGAAAACGTACGGTCCCCTGACAGAGGTCAGGTAAGTATATTTTGTGGTGTGTTTCTGGGGTGGGTTGTGGTGAGGTGTTGCATTGTTAAGTTGTGCGCTGGATGCATCCCTCCCCAGAGGTGTTTCTGTGGGGTGCTCTGAGGCATTCACTCTGAGCGTCACCATGGGGACAAGCAGGGGGAAGGAACACAATTTGTATTTCTGTGAGTGTTGCGTGATTGTACTCTCGCAGTGTGACAGTGAAGGTGCATGAAGAACCACATGCCTCTGTCCTGTGTGTTTCTGTATGACAATAATGCACACACATGCACTCACACATACAGGCACACACCCTCCAGGCTCCAGTGCGTGTAGGAGAGTGTGTGTGTGTGTGTGTGAATGCTATTTAAATAAAAAAGAAAGGAAGTGAATCAGGGTCGTTTCCATTTTAATTGTAAAACAGATAAGCACTAAACACTTTGAAAAAGTAAATGACTTGAGAATAATTACTATCTATTACTCTGCGTCCCAGGGGGGCAGTTGGAGGAGCCCAGATGGCTACAAAAATGGGATTTAGCAGAAAATTGAAGACATTATTCACCGTAACACATTATCAATTACCTTCATATCAATTACAATAACCTTACATTAGAAGAAGGGCCAGGAGACTATCTTCAGCCCCCAGCCTGAATAGTAATTGCAGTACCCCTATGGATGTTGTGTGTGTTAAAGGGTGGGGGGCACCACCGGGTTGTGCAGGGGTTCTGGCAGCTCCTGCTGCTCATGGGGGAGATGATAATAATGGCTCAGGGTCCTTTTCCCTCCCCTCCTTACAGTCACCTCACGGAAGGTTTTTCTCTGTCCTGTTTGTGTGGTCTAATGGCTCGAAGGGCAGCTGATGTGGCTCCTTCCAAGAAATTCTGCTTGGCTTGTCATTTGGGAAGTTCAGAGTATCTGTGCAGAGACTGCTGTTTCGCACCAGTGTCTTCTGCTTTCCCGTTCCCTCTCTCAGCCATTTCAGCCAAGCTGCTCATTATATTAATGGGGGCTGGTATGCAATCTGAGGTCCTTTTCTGCAGGACCTGGGTTTCTTTGATGTAGCAATCTGGCTCCCTCACGCCCTGTGCAGGAGGTGGGAGCTGCTCCCTCTGCCAGTCCCAGATGGGGCACCAGCTCGTGTTTACTGTAAACACTCACAGAATGGTCACAAAAGGCCTTGGGTGGGATACGGAGATGAACCAACCAAAAACAATTAAAAGGAGTCTCTCATCCTTTTATCGAGGGGTCGTGGAGAGCGTCTTAGGGAGGAGCAGTACCAGGGCTGCTTCAGCAGGCTGGTAGCATGAAGGTAGCTCTAAGGACACCCTGTTGCTGTGGCTGTTGCCTGTTGCCAGCTGGGGCAGCCCTTGGAGCTGGTGGTAGGTCAGTGCTTCCGACTGGCTGGCTGATGCTTCTGGCCTGCCATGGTGGCATTCTGAAATCCCACCTCCCGTCTTTGGACTTGATCCAGTTCAGACGGGCGTTTACACGTGCGACATCCAGCTCTAGCTGTTACGGCCTTATTTTCTGCTGCAATCAAACAGAATTCACTGCCGGCACCTGGCCTGTGCACAGGCGTGTGTGTGGGAGACAAGCATTTGGACATATCAGGGCAATTATGAGTTAAACTCTTGGTGACACTCCCTCCAGCCTCCCCCCTTTCCCAAATATGCAGTGGAGTGTCCAGTGGGTTAGTGCATGGAGAGGACTAATTGCTATTAAAAGGCTTTAATCTGGGAGATTAGTGCTGGCTCCAGGCGCTGTTTGCACACGAAGGAGATGTTTCCAATGAGATGAACTAGAATTCGTCCCTGCTGTTTTGTTGATAGAAAATCATCTTCCCCTCGGTTTTTTCTCTTTATCTCTGTCTCTCTCTATCTCCCCCCTCTCTCTGTCTCCCCCCGATCATTTGCTTTTGCCTCTTCCTTGAAGTTGAGCTAAGAGCTTTATTGTTTTTAGAGTATCAGTCCTCTTTGACCTTTTGGGAATGGTTATCTGCAGACATGCGTGCATGCAGACATGCATGTGTGTACATATACGTGCAGCCAGAATTCTGTGCTCTGAAGAGTCCTTTAGGAAATAGATCCTGATCAAGACAAGTAACGCTAAATGTATTTTCCCCTTGCTGTTGAGTCTCCTGTGGGCGAATGAACTGTCTGTAGGACTCTTCCTCTAATACAGGCCAGGCCAGTTCCTTTCTCCTGGGCACAGGCCTGATCCAGGAGGCATAAGAAAGAGATGTTGCAGACTTAATGTCTTAAAGCTCACTGCAGAGGTAATTAATGGGAGGTAATTAAATGATTACATATGGGAAGGTATGGAGCATTACTGGACCTCCAGCACGACCCAGGAAATGTCACCATTGACTTTGATGAACATTGGATCAAGCTCAATGGAAATTAATTTGATAACATGCCAGATGTGTCCAGAGAGCCTGTCCATGAAGGAGACACGTTTGACCTGGGAGCACAGAAATCTTTGTGCTACACTTACTGGAGGATCCAAAACCAGAGAGGCTTATTCTCAGTTCACTGTTGTCAGAAATCCAAGTTCTGACTATCTAGGCAGGTAATCCTTGCTGCTCCTACTCTCCAGCTGGAATTTTCACAGCATTCTAAAGCAGTAAAGTGCCAACTCCAAGAGTGCAAAAGAATAAATTGACATATTTATGTGTAGCATGAGTGGAAGGAACTGAAGACATTGTATCCCAAAGAATAGGACGTGTGAAAACTTGAGAAAAGGGGGGCTTGTGCAGAACCATGAAGTTATATGGCCCTTCTGGTCTTGAGGGTGGTCGAAAAAAAGCTATCAGTTAGAAATGTAAGTGAGAATGAGCACCCTCTGATTAGCGAGGCTGAGAATCAAGGAGAGAGCTGACTGGGGGCAGAACTGGCTCAAGATCTGGATCTTCTGTTCGAAGATGCCAAGGCTTTCCAAAGGAAAATGTTTTGTTTGCAAAGTGTCGTGCCCCCTTCTTCTGTGCACTGTCTGAATACTGTGGGCTTTGCTCTTTTGCAGGATGCTGCCAGTAACTTCCATGAGATTGCACCCCTGATTATTTGTACTATAAGCACATAGTTTTAGGAGGAAGAAATCAGGCACAGACGAGAGAGGTGAAAATTAAGTCACCTCTGTAACCGTGGGCCACTGAAGTGGTTGCAGAGCCTGTTGCTTGGCAAAGTGATGCTGAGATATGAAGGGTCACAGAATGGGCCCACTTACAGAGGCTTTATAGTGGACTGGACTTTTGGATAATGGTGTCTTGCTCTCTTTCAACCTGCTTCAAAATCCAAACTGTTACTGTTAGCCAGCAGGAGGCCAGACCTACTGCTTGTGTAAATTGCTCTAGTTCCATTGTTTGCCCTTGTTCCCTCAAGTTTGCAGATGATGCTGATGTAACCAATGTGAGGATCTGGCCTGTAGCATGTGTTTGTCCCATCTGCTGTCCAGCATGTTAATTTTCATGGAAGACACAAACTTGCACGGACTGTGATTTTAAGGAGGGGCCCTTTTCCTTTTTTGAGAGCCAACTGTGAAGCCTCAGGGGCCAGATTCTGAAAGGCAGTCAATGCCAAGATCAGGAGGGGTTGGGAGCCTGGGTCCTGGCAATTTCTGACTTGTGGTCCACTACTGCCAAGGCCACAGGGAGGGAAGCATGTGTTAGACTTTTGCGTAAAAGCATAGATGATATTAAAGATTTTTCAGCAGCAGCATCCTTGGGTGGAAGGGCCAGGCTTGCGAAAAAAAGGACTCAGCTGAAATGAGCCTTGAAAAAATCCTCGAGGGGGTTAGAAATAGTGGGGCAGGGAACATATTTCCACTGCAGGTGTCAACCAAAGTAAAAAATACTGATTTCGATATAAAAAAAAAAAGGCTGAACAATTTTAAGGAGGTAGACATGTTTCACAAATAACTGCTACTTTGTTAGAAATCAGCTTATTTTTGAAAACAAAATATTTGCAAAAATGTTCTGGCTGACCTTGTCTGCATCTAGGAAATCTTCTCCTTTCCCTGAGCTACTCTAGACTGAAACTTTGATATCAATGTCTCTTTTTCTATCTTATACTGAGTCCTGCTGACAAAGACAGGTATAGTCTAAAACCATTTCCTGTGGAGTTGTCCTCTCCTGGGAGCAAGATAAAATCACTTGCATAGTTTATTCAGACATGATTATCTGTCTATGCTCTCTTCCTGGTCTCCTCCATTATAAAGCCAACGCCACGATACAACTGTATTGCTGTGGCCAAACACCTGTCTACTGGACAGGATTTCAACTTCCATGTAACAGCATAAAATGCAACAGGTAGGAGTAAAGGTGTCTATTTCTTTAGCTGATCTTAATTCCCTTTATTTCTATAGGAGCAGAAGATTGTCAGAAGATTGTTCAAGTGATTCTTCCAGCATTTGATGCTGCAGATATTTACAAGTGTTAACCTGACCAGTAATCTTGAAAATCTTGTGTTTGGGGTGCAAGATCTGCAGTACTTGAGCTTTTTTTTTTTTTTTTTTTTGGAAATGTTTAGGCCTTATCTTAAAAAAAAAAAAAAAAAAAAAAAGAGGCGGGGGGGAAAGCTATTCTGGAAATATTCTGTGAATCTAAATTCTATCCCAACCACTGTTTACATTTCTTAATGTAATTAGGATACATTTCTCAATTGTTACTGACTTAATGCAAATGGCATATGGTGAGTTAGGGTGGCAGTAATGTTAACTCATATTTTTATTGCAAGTTTCCTGAAAACTAATGAGTTTCTGAAAATCTCAGCTCTCAGTATCAGGTGAGCAAGTGAGTGTCAGCTGTCCTTTTAGTTTCTTTTCAATGTTTCTATGTCCAAGGTGTGTAGTAAGACAGAATAAATATCCTGGAAACTTATTGGAAGCTTAGAATTGAGAAGGTACTTAGGATCTGTGATGATATCAAATATTTGAATGCCCCTAATTGAACCTTTTGGTTTTAGCAGATATGGCACACTGGTTTTGAATGCCTCATGTTGGAAATCCCACAGATAGGC